GTCACCCAACCGCGCATTCAGCGCCTCAGCATACAGCTGACTTCCTTCCATCGTGGAGCGCCGAGCATAATTGCCCGACACTCCGGAATCGATAAGGATCTTCCTTGGCTTCTCGAAGCCCTTAACGGTCGCCTTTACGACCAGCAAGCCCGGCTTGCATACACGTTCCGTGTTCAAGAGCACGGAGCTCTTCGGGGTTGGGCCCTGTTGACCTCTGCCTCCCTGAGGCTCAACAGAACTCAGTTCTTCCCCAATAGGTCACCCCGCGCCTACTGAGTGGCATCGTTTCCCCGCGACTTGCGCAGGGGGCAGCTGTTCCGAAGGTGACGGGTGTCTGTCTCCACAAACAAAACATCGTCGTATATTTGTACGATGCTCGGCAGCTCGGAGCTGTGTTCCCATGTCCTCAGCATAGCTGAGATCCATGGGCACAGACCCGCTCGACGAGCTGTTGGAGTGCGCATTCCAACCAAGTCGTGCCGGCTTGAAATTGAATCTGGCATTCAATGCCACTTTCACCGCTTCTTCAAACGAAGACGGATGCACATGTAAGTCTTCCATTCTGGCCACGCCAGTGCGGAGGCCTTCCATAAACACGGTCACTGTGACCGCTTACGGGAGAGGATCTACTGCCATTCCGCAGCAGATCCCCTCCCTTAAGAATTGGTGGACAAAGTCCATCAATTCCCTGTTGCCCTGTCGGGTGGCAAGGAAACGCGATCGCAACCTAGCGACATACCGTATTCTTGTTTGGGTCCAGTCACACCATGAACATCTCGTGTGCTGTTTCCAGGGTACGTGTAACCCGTTACAAAAGGAGTAGACTTTCGATGCGAATAAACTTTTCTAGCAGCTTACTTCAAAGTAGAAGATGGAGTAACGTTGGTTTGAATCTGCTCACTGCAATTGAATGACCCAAGAAGTGTGAGCCTCAGTGTGTTTCAGCATCTTGGTGGGGGGGTGCTTACACCTTCAACTTTTGTACAATTTTGCAAATTTCAAAACCGTATAAAATTAACATTGCACTGATGTGATATCGTGGATAGGATAGTCACTGCTCATGAAGATGTCCGAGCGTCGTAGAGGAGAGGTCCTTGGTACACGTAACCACTAGCTCATTAACCACAATTTTTATTGGTCAGGTATAATGTATGTACATAGTATAAGCTTAAAATGGACTTCATTCTCACTCTTGAAATTATACAAGAGCTATGTTATATATAAGACTCTCGGGCTCGCTCTTTGGAGCGTACGAATCCATCTCTATGCGTTGGCCACACGGACTAAAGGAGCTAGATCTTGCTCTGCAAGCAACGTGCTCACCAACCCCGTTGCATCAAGAGTGACATGTTAGAATCATGTCTAGCATAACGGGTATGAATCATATATTTAACGTCATAAAATCCTGAGTAATAGATATCGTGAAGCAAGCAGCCACCTTCTATCGGCCTGATTATGAATATTCGCCTTATAACTTTTGAGATTGGCTCTAAGCCAAGGGACAATAGTAATGTGATCGTAGCTCGTTACAGTACGAATGTTGAATTCTAAGGCCCTGCAAGTCGTTTGTTGTCAGAACTAATTTACAATAAATATTTTCTCGGAACACAAGTTCTGAAGAGAAATGTTGTTTATGGAGGAAATATAGTTAAATTTGAGGAAAATTGTGCTCTTAGCAGTACTTGGTAAATCCAACATACGAGGAGCCCACCGAGGCAGTCACAGTATTCAAAATGTCAAAACACAAAGGCTAATTTCGTCACTTACAGTCAGCTGCCTCCAAGTTGACGAGAGAGATTTGTGGCTTCTTACTGCCTTTGCCTTGTTAAGGCCTCTTTGGCGTGGATTGTAAACTATTGAATAAGTAAGGCTGCGAATCAATGATGCTTGAAGCTCAATTTATGTGCAAATATACAAACTACAATCTAACAAAACATTAGTTTTGTTAGTCTTGATAGATTTTCAGCGCAATAGTTGAAGTCAATCGCAGTCAGAGAGTCTACGGAAATTCAGCATTTGATATTCATTCAAATCTTGGCATCATTTAAGTCAACAATGGAACAAAGGTATTGTGAGATTATTTTGGATAGTTGAAAACCATTTAACATCAAGTAGCTGAATGTCCTAAAAAGCTGTTTTGCACTCAAGTGGCGGGCAAGTTCCGTTAGAGATCTTCGTAAGATTAAGCTCCGGGTGATTGCAGCTGGTGACATTCAAATTGCACTCGTTGTCGTAAGTGGCTCCATCAGAACCGCAGACGGGGTCATAAACGGCAAGGCAAATGTCTGGACATAACAAAGTGTTTTGAACAACGCCAGTCTCTTGTTCTGGTGTGTTTTCGGTCTCATTTTCTCCATAAGTACTACAGGCACCCTCATGGACCTGGGTAATACTCGGGTCCTTACAGCTGGCAATAGCGAGAAAGCACGAATTTGAATAAGTGATCTTATCAGAGCCGCACACAGGATCGAAAATCAGCATGCAGACGTCAGGACACCCGGAAATCTCACCAGATGCAGTCGAAGTATCACTTGTTTCGCAATCCTTGTTTCCATTTGCATTGCAGGCCCCTTCGTAAGCCAAAGAAATACTGGCGTTTTTGCAGCTTGCAAACTCTAAAAAGCACGAGTTACCATATGTGACGTTATCCGTACCGCAAACCGGCCTGTACACTTCAATGCACTTATCTGAGCAACTAGATGGACTAGATTCAGTGTCAGAACATGGTCCGTCGGACACATAGGTAATGGCACCTCCACTCTGGCAGCTCGCAATACCAAGTGCGCAGCCACTCGGGTAGGTCAAGCCATTAGACGCACAAACAGGATCGTAGATTGCAGGGCACATGTCAGGACAGGAAGGAGGTTCATACGGTGAAAGTGGCGTTGTTGCGTTAATGCACCCTCCTTCGTGCACTTTGGTAATCGGTTCGGAGCTTTCGCAATTCGCGAGATTCAGAAGGCACTCGTTCGTGTACGTGACACCGTTGGATCCACAGACGGGCTCGTTCTTGTCGCTACATTTCAGGAGACAATTGGATGCGTAACCAGCATTCGCAATTGTACTCGTGATAGCACCGACGAGGAGGCATAGGGCGAGTTTCATCTTGGAGCGTGGAGCGGCTAGGAAAAAGAGACTTGAAAAGCTGGAAGCAAGTTGGAAAATGGGTTTACTGACGAGGTATACACTTCCTGTTTTTCCATCTGGTCCTTAAAGCTCTTCCTGCTGTCGCTCCAAGCCTAATGTTTAAAAGAGTGGCATTTAAGGATCCAGCCGTTGGTTTCAAGGTGGTTTTATTATTGTTATAGGCTTCAATTAAAATAGCGAACCATCCTTTGCTTCAACAATAATAGCACAAAATTCTTTTGCGAAGAATGCAAATTGGCTTGCTTTTTTAGGCAAAATAATTCTTCTGCATGCAAGGTCATCATAGTTGGCAAACTTGATAGTTTCGAGCTTGTATCTTTGCTGCTTCAACTTTATATTTCAGGTTCTGCTTGATATTACTTGAACCCGCATAAAGTAACTCACGTAGTTCAACAATCGAATTGTCTTACGTCAGACTCAACCTTTCATCGGTCGTATTTTCCGCATCTATGCTCTGCTGACTTTTGAATTTGTGACTAGCTGGTAGCGGTATCAACTAACCATCTTAACGCTCAAAAATGAGTTTTACTAGACTAGTGGTACTAACTGTGGCGCTAACGCTCATTTTGCATAGGACCAGATAAGCAAAGAAACTAAATCGCTGATACGATTGTTGCAGTATAAAAAAATCCTATCTTGAGCGGTTGAGATTTGCTTAAACCTCTACAGCTTCCCAGTGAAGCTAGATTGTGCATTGAAGAACAGAAGAATACAATATGTTTTGCTCTATTCTGAGGATTGCTTGAATCATTCGGTCTAGCAAATATTCCTAGCAGGATAAATTTAGCTTATTAGTCGATACCTATGTACCGTATTCAGGATCTCAACCCAATACTTCAAAATCGAAAACTTGTAGATGAAACAGATTAAGCAACGTGGACCATGCATTCCGAAATAAAGGCTATGACGCAAGAGAAAATCATAAATCATTTAGCCTTATGCTGCGCGCACGTCACGCCCCCACAAAACACTCATTAGGAGTAACATCACTGCATCACCCTTCTTGAGATGCTTCTAAGGAGAGCTAAGTCGATTCTTTGACTACTGAAAAACTTACGTCTGACGAGAGAATGCATGTTCGAAGCTGGCGTGGGAGACTACGCTGATTTTTTTACCCGCATTTAGCAAAAGCAGGACAGACGTTATCTAAAGTATTGACCTCTCACTCAGTATTTTCATTTCATGCAATCCAATAGACAACAACTTACAGTTGGTTGGATACCATGTCATAAATTGATACGAATACCGCTCGATTGGCACAAGTCCGCACGAGTTTGCTGGAATATTTGCATCGTTGCTTCTCAGACGCAAATCATTTCTTCACAAGAAAAAAGAGTTATAATAGTGATCTGTTTGGATAAATAATCACTGTCTTTGTAGCAAATCTTGCTTATCTTTTACTAGTGTTTCGTTGCAGTCGAAACAACACGTAACGGAGCTCATGAAGCAGAAACGTGCGTCTTCTCTAAAATGAGAATTTGTGATGTTTTATAACGATCGATTATATATGAAGGGTCAGCAATATTAGCTGTCCTCTTGTCAAAATAAACAGCACAAAGGTCGCGGCGCGCTAGGGACTATAAACAGCCCTATGTCCAAGGTAGATAATAGAAGTACACTAAAGAAGCTCACTTGATGCTCCAATAATACAGCTGTTATACAAAATATTCTAAGGATTAATTATGCAATCTAGGTAATTTGAAAACTCATTCATTCCATAGCTGAAACATTTACTTTTTGTACTTATATTGTAATTCCGAGCGTTACGGTTATACACTTCCTGAAAATTTCGCCGTAGTGTGTAATTTTGTTTAAGTCTGATACTGGAAAAGTGTTTCTGATGAAGTTTCTCTGGAATTGCAGCTTGAGGTCGTAGTGTAAACTCCTCTAGCAACGGTGCAATGTGAGTTATGTGCGAATTTAGCTTTGCGTGCAAGCGTACACCAGTTTGAACGATAAAGTCATTCGCACTTCTGTAGATAGCATGGAAGGCTAAGTCTGAGCTTGATACCCGTTTAGTTTAGTTGTTAGTGAAAGAAAATTGGGTGCAGTAGCCAACAGGGTCTTGGTCGATAGGTACTAGATTGTGATCAAAGAGTGGACATTGGGATGGACAATTTTGATGCATCGTATATCTGCGCAGCATATAGTAGTAGAATCGTGGTCAAGAAGCGATGTGATGCTATAAATCTGCATATGCTCCGACTTTTGGGATGTTCTGCTTCCCGCCAAGTAGGTTTTTATTCTTGGTGGCAGATTGTGGTGTACTATTTTGAAAGTTGGATTGCATTTGAGAAGGCTACGGAACGCGTTAAGTTTAACACAGTTTTGTGATCTCTCGCCAAAGAGCTTGGTTCATTATAATCTTGTCAAGCTGTTGACATATCAAAACAAAGTACACCAGGGCAAGGGACTCCAAACTGGCCGCGAAGGCAGTACATAGCGAGGTCACATATGTCGAGTCGTGTGCGAACCAATGCTTCGGTGAAGGTCGCCTGAGAACTCTTGTGTAGGGAGAATTTTCCTCTGCAAACAACAAGCTCGCAAAATTTATGTGTCATGTTCAGGACGTTATAATTGTTTCAACCTCAGTCAGTTCTTCTAGAGCTTAAACTGTAAAAGACTTCACGACAGTTGACTTGTGCTGC